GGGGGGAAGATGGATATTTGTAGAAAAAGCAGGGCCTTTCTTTTAATTTACTTGGGGCAATGCGCGACTGGCAGATGGGTGGGATTTCTTTTCCCCATGAACAGCGGTTGAATCTGCTACTTTTCCTTAAGAAAGTAATTTAAACTTTTATGTGGATAAATCTTCTGGCAAGGAAACACACTATCTCCTATGCTCCTATTAAAACTTGTTCTTCAGTGGTATCTGGGAAGTTAAAAACCCTGAGACTAATGGTAGTTGTGCCGTTAGGAAGGCAAAAACTATTTGGTATCTTCAGGCATATCCAGTCCTCCTGCGGCAGGAGGTTTCATACTTGGGCAATTGCTAAAAACTTATTCCTGTCCTCTGAAATTAGTATCTGTGAGAGAGTAACATGTCCATCACAACCATAGGGGAACCTTGCTGTTGTACTTGCTATGGCAAGAGGCTTTGCCTCTGCTTGTTTGTCCTGCTTGTACTAATGAAAAAACCAAACTGTATTTTCCCCTGTCTCTGTGTTGTCTTTGAGGGAGAGACCTGCACTGCAGGAAATATTTAAGCTATGTATTTGAAAAAAACTTTGATTTGATCTTAGAAATTAAGGTTGGGTGGGTTTTTTAATTAAAACCACAAAACCAGACTTTGCCAATTAATTTAAAACAGATCAAGACCCCTAGCATTGTGAGAAGATTTTCTTAATGACTTCACTTGCCAGAAACAGTAGGAGTTGCTGCACCTCTTGTTTGACTTCTGCTTGTCATCCCCCTCTCACCAGCCAATAGTGAAGCCAATCAATGTGTGTTTAGATTAATTATATTGTGGAGCATGTTCTGTGGGAGTAGATACTGACACTGGAGAGTACTTTGACCAAAAGAGGCATGAAAGCCCAGTACTGGCATGATTTGGTGTTTGTTTTGTTGGTGGGGTTTTTTTTTTCCCCCAGACTGCCTGCCTTGTAATTTGCTTTTTGCTCAATGCAAATGCTGTAGCTCTGACTTTTCAGGTCAATCTGATCAATTTTACTGTAATCTGATTCTTTAGAATTAACTTATCTCAAGCTTTCATGGAATGCATCTCCTTCCAGCACAGAAATGTGCTGAGAATAGCAGTAGGATGAATGAGTGGTTGAAATTTTTTAAAATCTGCTATACAGTTGGAAGCAACAGAAGGAACACTTCATGAAGCTTACTATATAAACTTTTTTAAGCACTATTGTATTTCAATGCATAGGTCTTCCAATTAATTACTTCAAACCAGGTAGATACCTAGAATTTTACCATCTTAAGCAAATTTTGCTAGTTATGACTTCAGGAAATGGTCTATAAAGTGTTCTTAATTAGCAAAGTGGGATTGATTTCAGATGGGGTAAAAGGGGTGGAAAGAAACCATGAAATAGAAGGCATTTTATGAAGTTATTTTAGCTGGTTCTTACTTGCTTAAAAAGCAAAACAAGGCCAAACTTTCGAGTTGTTTGGTATGTTGTTTATGTGATCTTGATCTGGAAGGTGCTGCAAGCAATTACAGACTAATTACATCACCATCTCAATATTGCTGAAGAGTGAGCACATGTTTCAAGCAGCTTCTCTTTGCATGGAAAAGCATGAGGGACTTCATTCCCATGATCCATTTCTGATTTGGCAGCAGGTAATTACATTAAAAAAAAAAAATCCAGAAAAAGTTTTTAGAGTATTGGGGTTATCTCCTGCCTTGAGAAGCCGAAACATTCAGGTGTGGATAGGAGGAAATGAGGAGTAAGCTGCTGTGACACCATTATTCATGGAGTAGGTCCTTAAAAAGGATGGTGCAAAGCTGGTGATGTGATGGCAATGACACCACCTGACTGCGATCTCAAGTATTTGTGGCAGTGTGCTGAAGCTGTGAACAGGTTTTTCTAGGCTGAAATTAATTTTGTGAGCAACTGCTTTACCATGGTTATTAAAACTACCCACTCGAAAGAAAAACTCAGGAATAATCAAGTATGTGTCATTCTCCAGTTCTGGAGATCTGAAAAATACATTTTCCTCAGATACAGTCTTGAATTTTGATGTTAGTACGTGTGCAAGGCAAAGGATGAAGTTGTCAATCCACACATCCTTTATAGAATAAATGGTGTTGAAAACCCACCATGACATTATGTTGACAAGTCCCCTTGCCTCACCATGACTGCGCGCTGCTTCTGTCTCCTCCCTTGGACAGTTCAGCTAAGTATTAAACAACTGATGATGTATTGTGACATGCTGTCACAATACTAACGCAAGGGGAGGGCAGCAACGAGGTCTGGGCTGCAGTGTTTTTCAAAACCCTGCTCTCTTTACTATTGGGAGAAAGGGAGAGGGCTTTTCCCTGCTTGGAAAGGCCATGTTTTTGCACTGTACTGCAGAGTCCAGCTCTACTGGCTGGTGTGTGAATGGTTCAGTGTTTTGGCGGGGCTTTGGCTTGGCCCTTAGCCCATCCTGCTGTCCTTCTGCTTTGTTGGTGTACTGGGACATCTTCCAGAGCTAGGTCAGTGGTAATCCCGCTGGTGTGAGACTGGAAACAACCCCCCTGCACAGTGACAGTGGCTTTTTTTCCCTGCCACTTTCAGCGGGGATGTTTTGCATGCTATTGATTTTATGACTGTAACAGTACAGAAGATACCTGATTCTTTGTGATGGGTTGTGGAGCAAAGCCGTGTGTCATTCATCATGGGTCACTTCAAGGAAACGTTTGCCTTGTGTTGTTAGCTTCTTAATTGTTCTTCTGTGTCTTTTTCAAACTGAAGCATTCTTTAAGCAGTCGCTTCATGGTGTGAAGAACAAGATCATTGGTGTTACCACGGTATGCCTCCTTCATGGTGGGCCCAGGCGTTGGGCTTGGTTTGGAGTACATCGTGGGTGGAAGTTTAAGGGGGTAGAGGGTTGAAAAGTATCCTGTAAATCTTCACTGTGTAACTTAGTGTTCCTGTTCTCTTCCCTAACAGTTCTCTTACTGCTGGATTGGTATCTCTTTATCTTTTTCTTCTGATCTTTCCATGTCTACTTGTTTGTGCACAGTTATGTGGAGGCAGCTGTGTGTATGGAAAGGAAGAGGTGGGCTGTGCCTTGACACAGAGGCCCAGAGGAGGGAACTGAGGCTACGGCAACAGCTTTCTTAGGCAGGACGCAGCTGTTTTTCATCCTTCTGATCCCTTACTGGTAGATTAGGAGTGCCTCCAAGCAGATGACTTTTGTTGTCTAACTCATCAATAAGTTAGAGAACTCTTATGGTTTTGTTGAACATTCTTGGTAGTCCCCCGCTTTCTTTTTCCATACAGTCATTGCCTTCTGAGGGTATTCATCGCGGTACACAAACAGATTGCGCAGATGCCGTACGTGTCAAGGTTGGAGGATCAGGGATTAAAAACGTGATTCTCTTACTTTGTAGTAATTTGTACCCTAGTTTGAGCTTTTTAAAAAAACTGCTGTTCAAATGACTTGTTTTGGTTAGTGTTGCAGGTCTCTTGAGGTGCAGTAGCACAGACCATCGTGTGCCTTAATCTTGTGTTCGGCTGAGTTTAGGATGAGCCAAAGGCTTCCTCTTTTGTGGAAGAGAGGGGAATAAAATCTCCATGGCCTGAGGTTATAAGGCTCGTGCAGTGACCACATTATTCCAGGGAGCTGTGCAGTGTGTGTGGAAGTGAGGGGATCGCCTGCATGTGTAACTTTTCCTTTTTTCCATATCTTCCTGAAAACTCCCTCTGTACTTTCACTCCCTGAGAACCACCCCTTTTCTATGTCCATGTAATGTGATATATGCTCTTCTGACTTGTAAAAATGTCCAGAGAAGCTGTAAAGGGACAGCTGTTGCTCACTGGAATATAAAGGAATAATCAGTAACTGTGACAATGGCAGCAAACTGAGCAACTTGATGGTTGTCACTGAACCGTTTACTCAGTCATGGTTTTGGTTTGCTTCTGTGCTTGATGTGCCACAAACGCGAAGCTGAGAGCAATCCTGTCCTGCTCTCCTTCGTTCAACAGTTCTTCCAGGGAGCTGCAACGACAAGGCAGTAGTAACTGGCTGAAGGAAGTGCATAACCTTCTAACTTGCTGCATGCCTGTTGCTCTCTATGCACTTCTCTTTGGAAATGAGGAGGGGTGTAATCATCGCCAGAGTCTGTGTTGCTTTTGTAATGTATTTTTTTATTCCTTTTTGCTAGCTGGCTTGCCTTTTGCAATTCTCAATTCAAGACGTATCCCCTTCCAGAGAGGAGTTTTCTGTAGTGATGAATCCATCCGGTATCCATACAAAGAGGACACCATTTCTTATAAGTTGTTAGCAGGAATAATTGTTCCTTTCAGTCTAATTGTTGTAAGTTAACTTTTCTTCATTGCATTTGATTTCAGTGGGGGTGGGGAAGTGGGAGGAGGGGCAAAGTGTTAATACAGACTTCTAAACCTGTATTCTGTAAGATTTCTCAACTTCAATGTCCTTAGATCAGGAGCTAAAGCAGTAGAAATGGTGTTCTGGCAAGAATAACTAAAAGGTCTTCTTGAACTGAGATCAAACAACTAGAATTACAGAACAGAAAAACAATATCTCAGAACTATGGTGGCTTAATTCTACGGTCTGAGGGAGAAAAACCGGATCAATGAGTTGTAGAGATTGCCCCTGCAACTGCCAGCTTAGGATCTCCCTCTGCCTACAGGTCCTAGCTCAGTTGAGCTGGCTCAAGCATATAGTGGCTGTACCCTTCAGGCTTAGTTACATGCTGTCAGCTGACCTAATAGCTTACCATGGACAAAAGGTGAGGTCCCACTATGAACCTCTCTTCTGCCACTTCTGGTGGCTTGTCTGAACCAGGGTAAGCTGGTGAAATTCTTCTAACCTGTCAGAAAACAGCAGCTTTCTTTGAGCTAGGTTGAGTGAAGTGGCTCCTGGAAGAACACTGTATCAGTTCTGGGGCATATCCGTAGGCATGGGCAGAGGGGAGAGCTGAACCTCATCAGTTAACCGATTTGTGTCCCAAATTTCATGGAAATGCACTTTGGTTCCAACAGTAGCCCTTCATTCTACAAGGCCTTCAAGATCCCTTAGAGCTTCAGGCTTCGCTCATTGCTCTGTGTTGGGTGACATCCAAGCTCATCAGAGCTGCACTTTTTCAGAGTTAAAACTCTTCTTTACCAAAAAAGATTTTTAGGTTCGTATATATATTTATCCAAGTATACATTAGGAATCAAAGCTGGAAAAGGAGGAGCTAAATGTAAACTTCAGTATTGGCTAGCTGTTTCTCTGGGTTAATGGGTTAAAATCAGGAGGGATATTATGGCAATCTAACCTTCCCACGGAAGGACAGTGTGGATTTTTATGTAGGCTCCAACATAAAGGTCAACTTGTAGCTTATGTATATGCTCTTGGGTGGAATTTTAAAACTAGAAATGTGGGGCTGAGAATCAAAAGTGTGACTTGCCTAGTTTTCATTTTCTTGAAAAAAAAACTGCTTCAAAAACTTGCAGAAATACTTCCGGAGCAGTTAAAACTTTTTGTTCTGTCAGTTCTGTTAACTGGCAAGTGGTTTATTGTAAAGGATCCTACCTTTTAAGATAGGCCTGCGTTTTTTCACCCCATTGCTGCTGCTAGTAGTCAGTATTGCCGAAGAGCAGCAACACTTGGTACAGCTAAATTCCACCTAGCTTGTTACCTCATTTCTAGCAGCAGTTAAAACAGATGAGTCAGGAAGAACAGGGCAAACAAAGATTGATGTTTTGTCCTCAGTACTTTGCTACTAGCCGTTTGCAGCTCAGGGACTTCCTGACAGGAAGGGCTTCACTGAATATAGTAATTTTTAATGGATGTTTTTCCTTTGAATTTATCCAACCTCCACATGAGCCTGCATGAACATGTAGCTAACAGAGTTGTTACCTCTGTAACACCAGGGACCATCTTTTAGTTGTGAAATCAGGCTTTTCTGTCAAGATTGCTTTAAAGTCAGATGGTAAAAGCAAAGTTGGCATGCTTTATACTCAGTGCTCAGTCAGATTATTGAAGATGAATATTCATGATGTCCTGTGCCCAGTGAAGTACCTGCGTTGACATCACTTTTTTTTTGTCGTTACAACTGGGATGTGACTTTCTAGCAGATTTTGCAGCAGTGTTCTTTAAAAGGTTTTCATTATTTACCAGTCAATGTCACAGCTGTGGTATGTCTGCTCAACTATCTTCAATAAGGAGTTACTCTTTGGGACAGGTGGATTCTGTGTAAGATCTTACCAGCATCTACTTCACTAGAAAGCTTGCTCAGCTTTAGTCCATGTTCTGGTATTTCCCTGCTTCAGTCCATGTTTTGGTATGGTGCAGAGTGTAAAATTTCAGTGTCACGCATCTGATGGGACTGTCTATTTGCCTTAATGTGCAAAGCCACTGACAGCTACTTTGTCTGCCCAGGTGTCAGTGTCTGGTAACAGCTTCATTCACCGAAGCTCTGCTTTGCTGGGATTCTGGACTTGTCACTCAAGTGACAGACAGAGCCATCATTTATCCTTACAGGATTTTTAAGTATCATTTTACATATAGGCATACAGTGCCCTACCCAACTGATCATCTGTATGAATCAAGCATTTCAATACAAAGCTGAACTATTAGCCAACCTGTCTGGGGTGAATCTTTGTGTTTTTTTTTTTAAGAAAAACTTGCTTTCCTCAAAGGTAAAGTTGCAGAAAAAGCAAATTAAGTCTGCTTTTCTGTCAATACTTCATGCATATACCTTGGACATGCAGGGTGAAAAATCCTTGGAAAGACCTCAGTAG